TTTCTCCCTGGTATATTTGTTGTGCTTCAAATCAACTTCTTTTTCTGTTCATGGCTTCTTTTTTTTTTTTTTCCCCTCCGCACTTGAGCTAAACTCAAAATTGGCAACTTCAGAATCAAACATGTTTTGTAGAAATTGTCCTGATATGAAGGAAACAAAGGTTCAGTTTCGTCACATTTCAGGATGATCTGTAAGATATAGACTTAGACGTGCCCTTAATCTATAACAAACATAGGTTTATTTGAGCGAAAATGGCTTAAATCAGTATATGAATTACAGTAAAGTCAAGAATCGGTGCGCGACGGCTCAGGTTTGGTCCCACCTGACTACAATATCATGTGTTGCCTCACTGTCACTGCCGTTCCCCTCTCAGCGTTAGTCGTATTCTGATCCTGGAAGCCTTCAGATCCCCTCTCAAGGTCTTTGGGGGATTGTTGGGAAAAAAGAAAAGCTTAAGCAGGGTTGCGGAAGGGGTGAGGAGAGCTTTTTGAGAGCTTTTCCATGTCCTCCTCTTTGAGGTTTTTGTTGTTTGGATCTGCAGCCGGCTCCTCAGCTGGAGTTTGTCTGTGGGGCTTTGCTGAGTCACTCCCATCTAATGGAGAACATCTGCTGCCGATGCTTTTTACTAGCAGGACTCACAGCGGAGAAATGTGCGGCTGCTCGGGTGCTGGGGGAGGACATGGGGTCAGAGAGGGGTAGATGGGGAGGGCAGAGGGGGCAATTAGTGCGATAGTGAAAGCTACACTGTAAAAAACAGGATAATGGTCATTTGTTTTGAGCAGTTTAGTTAGTTTATAGATTTGCCCTGTTTTGCTCAGTTACAGATGATAAATAGTAAAAACTGAGAAAAATGTAAAAAATATAAACAATCTTCACATAAAAAAAAAGTGCTTTTACAATGTTTGACCAAAAATGACAGTTTTTATTGCTATTAAATGAGCAAAGTAGAATTATTTTATAGATGCTTGCAATTATTTTAAAGAAAATGTATGTATATGAAGGCTTCCAAAATGGTTCAAAAAATTTTTTTTTAATGTTTTTTTTTCAGAGCTTAGCTTTCACTTTTCCCAGTTTTGTTATATTACAAATAATATCTTGCAAAATCTAAATGTTGATGGTAAACAGAAAATTACGCAATCTCCTCATCAAAAATCTGTATTTTTACAAATTGTAATTTGTTGTTTTCCAATGTTGGACTGCAATATTACACAGTTTTTACTGTATTTAAAACAGCAAGAGATACAATTTTTTTGGTGAATATTTGTTAGTTATGTTAAAAAAAGGAATATTAACAACTGAAGGACAAATAGGTTTCTGCCTGTTATTTTACCTGCTTTGTTAAATTACAGATATTTGTCTTAAATTGCAGAAAAAAGAATATGTAACTTAAATGCTGACTATAAAAAACACTCCCAAACTGTAAATGATCAAAAATCTGTATAAAAAAAGGTAGTTTGTTCTTTTGCAATTTGAGATTTTAAAATTACACAATTTTGCTTAATTTAAATCCACAGTATGTACTTTATTTTTTACATATATTGAAACTTATTTTCATTTTTAAAAAATGTATTATTATTTTACAGCTTTGAAAGTTGGATTATTCCAGTTTCCTAAGGTATTCTTTTCTTGCTCCCTTGCTGCTAGATTTTTTGCATTTTTTTTTACTTAAAAAGTAAAAACAAAACAAAAAAAATCAATTTTGCCAGAAAAAAAATTAGTTACATCCCAATCCATAGCATGTCAGAGCATAATAATAACAAGAATACATTTTTTTAGAGCACAGTTCATACGGCAAATCTAACTCAAAATCATCAAACAAATAAATTAGTAAAATGAAAAAAACAAAATAAAAGTGGTAGCATCAGATAATAAAACACATTACAATAAAATGTGGTAAAAAAAAAATACCAGGCTGTACAATACATTCGGCTGCATTTTGCTGTATGCAAATGAACCATCCTTCCTGGTCATCCGGACCTACAATCCTCTGCATGCAGCTTAAAATACGTCACATATGTCGTGGTGCCTCATGCGAGTATAAACAAGCCTGAGCCTCTGAGAGCGCTCAGACAGATGGCAGCTCCCTTCACACTGCAGACGGATATATGAGTGAGACGGTCAAAGTTCAGGGCGCGATGTTAGAACAACGTAGTATCTCCTGCTTGTATTCACACTGCAAACAAGCGTATGTACTTTGTGAGGGCAGCTGCAGTGCATACCGAAAGTAAAAAGGGGAAAAAGAATGTGATCTGGAAAGCAGCCAGTGTGTTATCTGTCGCTATTGTAGTATCATCAAGTCGTAACCTGAACAGCCGCAGAGGTCACCTGCTTCTGCTCTGAATGCGATCCATAGGAGTGCCGTAGAGCGGGGATATTTCCACCTGTGTTTGGTTAGGTTTAGGGGAAGATTAGGTTTAAATAGAAGACCTGTCACGGGTACATTAATACACAGTGAAGGTTAAAGAGTGGTTAACACAAATGTTGACTTTTGTATTAAAATAGGAACCAAACAGCAGCCAGCCTCCCTGTGTGGGCTTTGTCACTCTGTAACTACTTCACCCCATTTCCTGCACTGTTCGTAAGCGTTGAATTTATTTGAACATTGTTGGTGATACCGTGGTACGGAACAGGATTAGAGCCACTGAAGAAAAAAAATCACAAAATTCTGAGAAAAAAAGTCAGAATTCTGAGATTAAAGTCAGAATTCTGACTTTTTTTCAGAGATTGACAAAAAAATCTCCTGGAATTTATTCTAATTTTTTTTTTTTAATATTCTGGGAAAAAGTCAGAATTCTGATTCTGACTTAAATCTCAGAATTTTGACATTTTTCTCAAAAATGTGTCTTTTTTCTCAGAAGTCTGACTTTAATCTCAGAATTCTGACTTTTTCTCAGAAATCTGACTTTGTTTCAGAGATTTAAAAAAAATCTCCTGGATTTAAATTTTTTTTTTTTTTAATGTTCTGGGAAAAAGTCAGAATTCTGACTTTAATCTCAGAATTCTGACTTTTTTCTCAGAATTGTATTATTTTTTTCTTCAGTGGCCCTAATCCTCTTCCATGCCTTAGTGAAGTCCTCCCACAGGGAATTTTGTGTGTCCAACACCTAATTTCATGCATTTCTGTGATTTTTTTTTATGCACTAATGAATGGTGAAAATGTCTTTATTTATGCAAAGTAAGAAACAGAATCCACTCACCAGGTGGCAATTTAACATGTAATGTAATATAATGCAGTAATGCTCTCACATTTTGTATTGCTTTCAATTGTGTATGCTCCTGTAGTTCCTGTAGCTTTTTTTTAGTTTGGGGTCTGTTTATGATTTATTGAAAGGAAAAGGATTTTTGTAAACATATATTTCTAGTTATTTGAAAGAAAAACTGTGTATTAAGGATTCAAAGTGATAAATATTTTTTTTGAACTTCCACCAATTTTCCCTGTTTTGTTAAATTTCATATATTTAGTGATAAAAATAGTATTAATTTAAATGTTGATTGTAAAAGAAACAAAAAACAAAAGCAAAACCAAAACTGTTCATAATGTCCACATTAGAAATATGTTTTTAGTAATATATATAATTTGTTCTTGTACAATGTGTGGCTGTAACATTGCACTGTTTTATGGTATTTAAATCCACTACAGTATTATTATTTTACAGATGTTTGCCCTTGTTTTCACAGTTTAAAAAAAAGACCTCTCCCATTGTTGCATTTAGAATCAGAAACAGCTTTACTGTCTGGGTTTGAACACACAAACAAGGAATTTAACTCTGATGAATCTGAAGCTCTCTGTCTAAGAAATAAAGAAACAAGCTAGAACAATGAAGCAAGAGTAAGAACGATATTTATGAGTAAATACTGAAGTGGTTCTGTCATGTTTGCATTGAAAGTGAACATATGCACATGTTTCAAGGCCTGAAAGTGATGTATCCCGTGTATCAACATGTACTTTTGTAGTTTTTAATGGAGCTGGAGTCTCTGTAATACATTGTTGTTGTTGTACCGACACTCCAACCTCCACCAGGTGTAGTCTCAGAGACACACTATATACAGGTACAGTTTATTTACTCTATCATCTGTGCCAAACTTCTGTCCCATGTGCCACTATATGTACTAGACACTTTTCTTCAAGCTGGTCTTCATCTTCTAAAGGTGAACCTTGCCTCGCTTTATTTGTGCAAAATGAACTGCAGGAATGGTTTTTAAAAAATTTTTTTAGGGCTGCAACTAGCTTTTATTGTCTACCTCGATGAACCTGTCGATGAATCAATTAGTTGTTTGGCGTATGGACTGTGAAGTTGTTTCCAAAAGTCCAAAATGTTGCTCCAAGTAGGCCTGTTTTGTCCACAAGATATTCAACTTACTGTCGCAGAGGAAGAAGGAAGCCAGAAAATATTCAAATGTAAGAATCTGGAATCAGAGAATTTAGACTTTATGTACTCAGAGATCATCTAATCTACTCTATGGATCTCTACAACCCTATTTTTTTTTTTTTTATACTTATGCTTCTCTCTATTTTTTTCTTCTTGTCTCAGTGTAGAAATGAGTCATACAGCTACAGGAAGCAATCATTTTTATGTCCCGGTGTTTTTGCCTCAATTATCAATCAATGACTCTTCAAACATCGGGTCAGGCTTCTTTATTATTTTCGGAAGTGTAGTAGAACCGCTGGTTCTTCCTCCTATTGTTTCCTAATTACAAGGCAGCATTTGATCTCGCTGTTTGATGACGTAGATAAGACATGAATGGGATTTCCCACCACTTCAGTTTTCTGGCCCATTAACTCCTTTTGAAGGTTCTCTTTTTTTCTTTTCTTCTCTTCCCCCGTCTTGAGAATTCAGCTTTGCCTTGTTGCTCTCTCTCTCTGATATCCCTGATAATGCTTTTCCGCTAATGAATTCCAGTGTTAACAGTGTCAGTTAGATCTCACGGCAGGCAGCTGGACATACTGCAAAGTGCCCCTCAGAAATGTTAATGTGCATTGTCTCTTCTTCCGCCAACAGATTTTTCTGTAGTCGAGTCCAGGGCATCTGCTGCAGTCATGTTTAGGAACAGCTTGAAGATGCTGCTGACGGGGGGGAAGGCCAACCGCAAGAGTCGCAGCAGTGGTGAGTCTGTTTTCTGATGCCAGCCACAAACAATGACGCATCTGCCTGTCAGCACACAGAAGGTGTTGGCAAGTTCTCCGGGTGTATTTTTAGGATGCAGAAACATGCGGCTCGGGGAAATGGAAAGTATTTGGAGTCTTGAAGATGAACTCGGAGCCGTTGAAGATGCTTTAAAACCCTAATTATGACATATAAATGAGCAAAACATTCACCTTTAAATCAGCCAGTTCTTCTCCTACACATCTGTATAGGAATTTGGCAGTATGTTGTTCTAAACATTTTGGAGACACAGTTGTAGATGTAGGCTTGCTTCCGTCTCTTCATGTAATCCCACTGACTCTAATGTCAAGACCAGGGCTCAGGGTTCATAACATCTGCTCTTCTTGTCGCTCAAGTTAGCACTTTATGACTCTGGCTGGACCAGTCGCACATCTTCCTGATAGCGTTGCGTAACGGCTAGAAACCCAAGCATCTAAAGCCCCTTGGAGACGAGCGCTTCCTTCCATTAATCTGACAGCTTCTGAATTTATTAGCTTCACGTCTGAATGAACAGCCAATTGAAACAGCAGTCGTAACATTTTACTAGAAACATTTCCGTGTCGGTTTCAACGTGGCACAAGTCTGAACTTCCCGAGTGACATGCTTTGAGTTGTGTAAAGCAATTAGAGGATACTGGTCCTAAAACATCACGGATAGAAGAAGAGCCTGTTTGCATGCTAAAATCAGGAAACACCTTCGCTTTGCTTTGCTCTACAGTTTCACATCTTTTGCAAACGGAAATGTCTGCAATCAAGACTGAACAGCTCAGATTCTCACCAATAATATTTGAGATCCAGGTTTTCACAACATGTTTAGTTTAGTTTGTAGGAGTGCTTCCTCTGAGTTTAACAAGTAGTGAGAACATTAATGTAAAAGTGTCTGAATGACAGAATGGCCTTCCTTTAAAGCAGGGGTGTCCAATCCTGGTCCTCGAGGGCCACAGTCCTGCATGTGCAGCTTGATGATGAGCTGATCATTTGAATCAGGTGTGCTGGAAGAGGGACACATCTAAAACATGCAGGATTGTGGCCCTCCAGGACCAGGATTGCCTGCTTTAAAAGCTATTTCAATACTTTTCTTGTCTGCAAAGGTACACGATGCAAATTTCATCATCAGCTGAATTTCGTGAGGGTCCACAGCCCAAAGTTTGTGACTGTGCAAACTGTCTGCACTGCTCGCAAGTTGATCAAATAGTGTTTAAAACAAAGAAATTTAAAGGAGGTTCTTCATCATCCACACCTTTAGATTTAGAAGTAGTTGCTGCAGGACATTAACAGTGCTTTTATTTGTACTGGGTTTCCATTGATGCTGCTCAAACACAGTGGGAAGTTCTAAATTCTCCAGAAATCCTGTGTTACATCTGCCCACTGTGCTCGATACGCCTCAGGAATGTTGACTGACACGGTTGCTATAGTCTAATCTGTAAGAACAGCCCCGGGTATTTCTATGTGTTCCTATGGTACAGATGAACTGCAGTCCTTTCAAAATCCACATCGGTCTGCGCACACGGACGCAGAAAAGCATGAATTGGCTCTTACAGACGAATAAAGCCAGCAATGTTACATATCCTCTGTCTGAAAGGGGCTTGAAGTGAGTAAAACTCTCGCACAATGTTGTGGATTCAGACCAACCCCAGTTGTGCTGCTTGAAAAGCTTCGGCTCCTGTTGTCAAAGCTTAACACCAGTTTTTCTCTGGCACTTAAAGCATGCTTTGGTCATGCCATGGTATGCTGCACTGAAGATTTGTGTTTCCTTTATACATTCACAACGGGGAATATCTGAGCCGGCCTTGATTGTTTAGCCTCGCGCAGCCATAACATGTTGTGTCAGCCTTCAGCTCAGGAGGCTCTCTTCACATCAATTCAGTCGCTCTCTACCACCTGCTTGGTGTAGGTTTCACTATTATTTTGTCGCTGGAGGTTTGTTTCGCTACATTGCTATTCCTTCCTTCATCTACCAGATAGAAACCCTGCTGGTTAATGATCACCTCCCGTGCTGTGCCATCAGAGCTGTAATAAAGGCACAATGTTAATTTGCTCGTGATGCATACACATCGGATCCTGCAGCTGTTTTCGCAGTAAGAGATTCCTGTTGCTGAGCCACTTTTAGCACTTTGCGTAAACCTCAAACGTCGCAACAAGTTTTCGCACGTACAATTTTGTCATATTTGAAAATGGTTTTATGGCGCGTGGTAGGGTGCCAGTATCATTCACAGACTCAAAAGAGCCCTACAAGGTATTAAAAAGTCTTAAATTTCATTCACAAAGGTCATGAATATTTCCTCTTGCCTGGCAGTAACATTGGTTATCTTTTTTTAGTACCACTTTGAGGAACGAGGCCTTTGATGTGCTAGATAATCCCAGCCAAAAGCAACTCTTGGGATAGTTTGCGCTGTTCATTTTGTAAAAGTACAGTCGCTCTTATTTGATTCTAATAAGTTTCAGGTTATTGCTAAGGCAATCTCACAACCTCCGCTCTCTTAACTGTCTCCCCGGGACAGGCTCTTTATGACTGTGTGGAAATTTGCATTCTGGGGGCCTTTGTCCAGTTGAACAGATTAACTCCGTAAAGCTTGAAATATCCCACTTTTTTCCCCTCAAACTTGTAACAGAGCTGTTTATGAAAAATCCATACAACTACAGTGACTGCTTATTAGGACTGTCATTGATGTGACATTTTTCTCACAGCTGACTTGCATATTTATTAGCTTGACCACATTTTTGTGAAATATTAATTCTTTCATTTTGACCTACATTAATCAAGACTTGCGTTTATCAAGTAATTCCTATGTATTTATCTAATGACGACCTTCTCTGCAAGGCCTTCTATATGTGCTGCTGACAAACATGCCGCCACTGTGCCTGCTGGTGTGTTTGCGTATTTATGTGTGAAGTAGACCAAGCAGCGATGCATGACTGGAGTACCATCCGGCGTTTTCGTATCTGTTGCTGTCACTTTGCAGGGAATGCGCTCATCCCTGGTACAAGTGCTGCTCTTGCAATCTGTCCCTTCGACTGCAACATCTGTATCCAGCAGTTTGTAGCGCCCATAATGTGCATACTTTAGAAGAAGCATGCCTGCGTTGACACCATTGCCATTTAAACACATAATTTACCCTTATTTAGAACGTGCCCGCGCATATGTATTTGGGGTTTTTAATAAGCCGCTCCGTTGCTTTCAAGGACGCAAGGAGGACCCTGACTTATCAGCGTGCGACAGACAGGGAGCGCTGTGAACCCACATCCCTCTCCTCCTGCTGCTGAGGGAGGAACACTTGGCTCAAAACGAAGGACTTGTCACCCTAAAAAGAGCTCCTATATGTTGGATGCCGAAATTGGTCTTGGGTTCAGATGTGAGATGGTGAGATAAGATGATCGTCCTCAGTGTTTGATGCGGTTACAAGGCAGCTTCTGGCTTTAGGAACGCCAGAGCTGCGAGGGGGGAATAGACACGCTAATCTGAAGACAACAGATGAGCCAGCTGTCCCTTGATCTGCACTGGAGAAATTGTTTGAACCCCAAGTTACTAAGCCGGTGAATGGCAGTTTTTAAATTGAATAACACAGATAAGCTGCTCTGATTGCAATGAGGCTGGATTTTACAAATCTGTATCGCGACACACTCGGGGAGGAGGGCGTTATCTCTCGGGGAAGCGACATCGCGTTGCCCGTTTTGTCCTCAGACGGTATCATTAATAGTTGAGTCGGTTGCGAACTTGATTCTTCTCAGTCCAAGCACTCTGTGATTAATTAGATGCCATTCAAGACGGGAACGTTCCCCCCTAAGATACAAGCTGTTGGAACAAAAACAACATCACACATAAGCCTTTTTGTGAAGACACAGAGCGCACTTTGACCAGTATGTAAAGCTTCCTTTGTGACAGAGCAGCAAAAAGTGAGACTGAAAACCCCTCATGCTCTCACATATTACACTGTTTATATCTGCCGCATGAGGTTAAAAAAAAAATAAAAATTGGAGGCGTGTGGAGGAGTTTGTTTCATATTTGTGGTGTTTTAGTAAAATTTTGACTGCCGCCGACTTCTTGCTCCCATCAGGAGGTAGAAGTGGGTCTAGACTTGAAACAAAGTCAACAGCCTGACACTGCAATTACAGTTTATGGTACTGGCTGATTAGAAAATGAGGAATGGGGTTGAAAGGTTGGGGTGTCTGGACAGGGAGCTGTTGCATGACTAATAAGCACTGAGACAGACGGGCTGGAGGGTGGCAGTCGAGCACACAAATTGTAGTTTACATGCATGTGCTCGGTCTCAGAGTTGAAATTAATTTGGATTAGCAAGCTTTATGATTTACCTGAAAATAATCCCATTATAATCGCAATAGTACATGATATTGACTGATAACTTACTAAGACATTGCTTCAGTGTTTCGTCCTGTGACAAACATTGATGTGGTTCGACTCACGTGGTCCAGAACGTGGAAGAACCAGAGTTTGATCTGTGGTCCGGTTCTCTCTCCCCCTGACTTTACACAAACAAACCCAAGAGCTGCAAGCATGAAGTCATATGGACTGACAGCTCACTGAATACACAGTTTTAGTGATTGTCATCCTGCATCATCGTCACCAGACACACGTGTGGGGGAATCAGATCTCCACAGCCTGACAGCCAGTTATGCAAGTCATGTGTTTTCATTTTTATGCTCACTAGGAGAAAACTGATTGTTGCATTAATTGTCAGTGTTCTGATTCGACTTTGCATGACAGACAGACAGAAGCAGGTCAGAATTAGGCTTTTTTTTTGAACAAGGTAGTGGGAAGAGAGCTGCTCTCCTCACCTTTCAGTGCAACACACCTCTACAGTGTCTCGTTTTCAGTTTTTGTCGAGTCAGGCAGAATTCCTGCACTCATGCGTGACCATCTTGTGGTCACACATGAGTGCGGGCCACGCATGAGTGCCGTCTTGTATAAATAACGGCCATACATTGTTTATGCCTCGGAGGGAG